GTTAGGTTGAGAGAGGGTTGGGGCAGTTGGGGTTGGGTTTGAAGAGTTGATTGGGTTGAGGAGTGGGAGGGGTGGGAGGTTTGGGTTGCGAGAAGGGGTTGAATGGGTTGAAGGTAGGGAGTTGTTTAGTGAGGTTGAGGGAAGGGTGGGGTGGGGAATGTCTATGGAGTGTGTGGGGGCCGAGGGTAAAGAAATGGCAGTAGATGGATTAGCACTGGTTGGTTTGGGCATATTTGGAGGTATATGATTGGTTTTGTTGGCCTGACTGTGGGGTTGGGGTATTTGTCTGTATACTCTTGGTTGTTCTTGAGAGGTAGAGGCATGAGTTGAGTGTTTTTTGTCTGTTTGGACATGGGGTTTTTCAGTTGCCTGAGATGTGTTTTTTAGGGGAATATTCCGGTCAGATATGGGTATGTGAGTGTTGTTTTTACAGCCTGGGTTGTGCCTGGAGATGCCCTTGCACTCTTGGCAGAATTTGGGGACTTCTTCATAGATGGCAGTGAGGAAAAGAGGTTGGTCACCGTTTTGAACAACAAATTTGTTGATTTGTGGCTTCGAAACATCAACTTCAACACAAATTCTTGCTAAAGAAGGCCTCCCAAAATTTTCAGTTGTTGCATCAAGTTTGATAGGAGTTCCAAAGATTTGAGCAATACATAGTAGGGACTCTTTAGCATGAAGGTGAATGGGCAGGTCCTGTATGGCAATCCATACAGGAAGAATAGGTGATTCAAACTTGGGATCAAAATGTGGACTCCATTTGGAGATGGTCATTTTGAATGACCCCAGCATCCATTCCCTTCGTTTAAAACATCTATGATAGTCTCCTTCATTGGAAAAATACAGTAGTACATGGGATTTATCAATTAGGGTAACAGAGAAGCTAGTGAGACCAATTCTCTCTAGTTGTTGTCTAATGAAGTCCAGACTTGGTCTTCCAAAGTAAAAGGAACCAACCAAGGCTTTAGAGAATCTTGAGGCTAGGATACTTACCTCTGAGTTAGAGAAGGTTACACAAGGTAATCCTTTGTGTTTCTCCACATTTCTGGGGGGGATAGCAGCTGGCATGAGAGTGTGTGATGCTGCTATGGTAGCTGCAGCATAGCTTTTGCCCAGCTTGTGGTGGATGCTGCCCGAATAAAAGGCCTGTTTGGTTGCAGGTGTAGAGGAGGCATTGGGGGGGGTTGTGGATGGCTGTTGTGGAGGAGCTAGGGAGAGGTTGAAGGTTGCTGCCTCGAGGGTGGCCGGAGGCCTCCCCGGAGGGGGTTTCCGGCATGAAATTACTGCGAGCTAGAGAGAGAGGAGAATATATATATATATATATATATATATATATATATATATATATATATATATATATATATATATATATATATATATATATATGACCACCAAACTCGGTGGGGTAAGGTCCAGGCCGCCCTTACCGGCTATATTAATTAAAAATGTGAATACACGTTCGGGGAGGACCAGACCGAAGCCCCGAAGGTTGGACAAAATATATCAAAATTACCAATAGAAACAAAATTAAATCCGTGACAAGACAAATCTAAAAACTAGGAAAGGATCCATTTCAATCTGCAGACTCAATTCTTGTCTCCTCTTCCGCTGAGTGTTTGGTATTAAATCTTTCCATCGGTGAGTTCCAGGTCGAATATTGATCTTGGAGATGTCTTCACTTCTATGGGGAAATTCCTTCAGTGAAATCGTCGTTGACTCCCCTCCACCTAATCGAATGCCTGCTATGAATCCCAATCTTCTCCACATGTAAGTACTTCCCACTGAGGCTGAAGATTTCAAACCCCAAGTCGTATAATTCTTGGTCTCTGATCATCCATCTCTTTTTTCTATGTAGCCAATTCCATTGCTGAATGGTTGTTTTAATTCCTTTTAGCGTTGTAGACATAGCAGGGCTATCTTCATTGTAGATTGATGCAGTGTATATTTTCCATATGTTCCATGCTATAATACCAGGTATAACCATTCTCAAGTTACCTCTTTGTGTCTTACTATTTGCTCTAAGCCCCATTCTAGGAAATGTTGTCTCAGTGTGATACCTCTTCTTGCTCTTGGTCCTTGTAGGAGGTTAGAAAAGAAGTTCCAAATGTTGATGCTAAATTCACAGTGGAGAAGGGTATGGTTAACATTTGTTTCCCATGATTTGTAGAGTGGGCATTGTGAATGTAGGTGAAAGCCAATTTGGATGTATAGCTGTGGGAAAGGTAAGATGTCATGTAGGATTTTCCATTGGAAAATTTTAACACTTGGGATTTGAAGCTTGTGCCAAGCCAATTTGTAACTCAGTTGAGAATTCCCCGATTCCCTGCATGCATTGTATCCTTGTTTAAGTGTGAACTCTCCCCCATCCCACTGCATAACTCCATTATGCAAACCTGAGTGTTCTTCTGCTATATTTGCGACTCTACAAATTCTCTTCCAATTAGGGGAATCCACTATTTTTTCCCAGAACGAATTCCTCCTAAGATACTTGTCTCTTATGAATAAGGCCCATATACTATTGCCCGTCTGAGCCTTCCACCATATTCTTAGAGAGTAGGCCTTTTGCAGATCCTTGATATTTCTCAACCCCAGACCTCCCTCTTCTTTAGGTTTGCAAATAGCTTCCCATTTTCTCCAGTGATGTTTGGCCTTACCATTTGTGTAACCCCACAAAAAATTAGCCATTACCCTATTCAGCTGATTGATAATAGATAAAGGCAGGCAATGTATAGCCAAGTAGTGCAAAGGAATTGATGAAAGAACATGCTTAATGAGGATGAGCCTTCCCATAGGATTCAGCACTTTGCTATACCAGGAGGTTATATGCTTTTCAAAGTGATCTAAGAGTCCCTGACAGTGTGTTTTATTAATCTTTCCCTTGCAAATTGGAACTCCTAGATACTTAAAAGGCATTTTATCACTTTTCATCCCCAAGGCTGCTTCCATTCTGGTGATCTTGTTGTTAAGGACCTTTCTCCCAACATAGAATCTAGATTTGTTGTAGTTAACCTCCTGTCCAGACCCTTCTGTGTACTCCTTTATCAAGGCTCTGAATTTTAAGAAGTTTCTAATTCCTCCTCTTAAGAAAATTATGAGGTCATCAGCATATGCTAAGTGGCTGACAAGGAAATTCCTTCCTGTGTTGAACCTTTGGATACACTTCCTTTCCATAGATGTTTTAATCATCCTCGAGAAGACTTCACTAGCAATGATAAATAGCAGTGGGGAGAGAGGGTCCCCTTGCTTGAC